AAACACATCTTTTTTATCAAGCCGCGAAAACAGTATCTTACAGAAATGCACCGTAAAGTTGTATACAGTAGATCGTTTTTGTCCGATCCTTCCACGGAACCTTGTGGTCCGATCCCGCGCATAGTAAGAGCTTAGTGTACCGAGCTACCCTTTAATCCAAAAAGGTATTTATATATAATAATTATCTAACAAATCTCAAACTCAAAATGGTGAAAAAGTTACAACTTTTACGTATTGAGATGACTGGATCACGTAAAAATCTTATCTTGATTTTTTCATGGGAAAATGCGGGAGAAGATTTTTTTTTTTTTGGACATATATAACCTTGAAGGGGGATCATATTTACGTTTGGTTTTCCACGTGGCAGGATAGTATTGGCTCCAATGACAAGGTGCAGAGCACTGAATAGTATTCCACAGCCAGCGCTGGCGGAGTATTATGCGCAGAGAGCAACGGACGGTGGATTTCTCATCACTGAAGGCACTATGATTTCTCCAACTTCAGCTGGGTATGTTCGTTAATTTGGTAATATTTTAGGGTCTTTTTGGTAAATAATGCACTTAGGAGTACCCAATTATTGCTGCTCTTGGTCCCCATTGGACTATTTGAAAACTACTATTAAGCCAGTAACTTATTGACACGTGTAAATGTACCACTCTTTGCATGATATTTTTTTTAGAAAATCCGTATAATTTCAAAAGAATTGTTAATATAATATCACTCAAACAAAGTATGTATTGCCATTTAGAGGAGCTTTGTATATATACTCTTGAGTTAAATGCTTATTAGCAGTAAGGCTTGTAATTTTATTTTCCCAATTACTAAAGTTAAGTGAGGACGGGAGCCATGAGAATCGAACCAACACATATTATATTTTATAGTTAAAAAAAAGAATTTCGCTTTTCAAATAATAATAATTTTATTCTTTTTTAGATGGGAGAGTATTTTAAGGTTAAATTTACTTTTGCAACTTCAAAAGTTGCCAAAAAGAATTATACATTGGTTAAATAAAGCATTAAATGCTTGTATCAAAATTTTATGGGACTTTACATACGTTACCTTTTTGTTTTTCATTGGATGCTTCTGAATATTTTATTGGTGAGATTAACCCTTAGTCTAAGGGGTCATTATTAAATTTGTTACCTATTTCAGAAATTTTTGCTGATATACTTAATTATTGCTGCTTGGGGGCCCCCATTGCACTATGAGAAAATACTGTTAAGGACGAGTCACATCATGCCACGTGTATATTTTACCATTATAATTTATTAGTGGAAGGTGGGACCGATATTGTCGGCTCATAATGTATTTAACATGGAAACATAGTGAACTGAGGAAGAACAAAAGGGCAAAAATCAAAATTATAATACTCTCTAGTTTCATAATAAATAATTTTTTAGTATTTGGCACTCCCTTAATAAAATATTAACTCCAAAAAAAATAATTATTTTAACTAAATTACCCATAATTAAAATTTGCATATTGTTAACTTGACACGTTGGGATATGTAAATAAAGGCAAATTTTAAAAAAAATAATTCCTTCTTAATTATATAAAATGTCATTTATTTTGGACCAAAATAAAAAAGTTAATTATTATGGACAGCAGTAAATATAAGAACTTGTATGATTATGGGGATCCTTTATTTTGCAGATTAACCCAAGTTTTGAACTACAACCTTGTAGCATCAGTCTTATAAAGTTAGTAAATAGTATTCCATCAGTTTCAATTTATGTGACGTGATTTGACTCGCACAAAGTGAAAGAAAGAAATAAAAAAAATTAAAACTACTTGCTTCTGGATAGATGTGTGGGACAGAGGGCTCGTGGTACCTGCTGCCCACCCTTCCTCCTCTGCACTTGTGATCTTAAACAAATTATAATATTTTCGTGACTATAAAACTTCTCAAACATACCATAACATTTATGTGGTTATAAAAATTTCTCATTCAGGGTACAAAGAAAAGTTCAAGTTAAATTATTTTAAATCATAAAAATATGTCTTTTTTTTTTTAAACGGAGTAATAAGGACATAATATCCCATAAATGTGAGATCCAGCCTCTTTGCTCATATATTATGTGGTGTTTCAGGTTTCCACATGTGCCAGGGATTTTCACAAAAGAGCAAGTAGAGGCATGGAAGAAAATTGTTGATGTAGTACATTCAAAAGGTGCTGTCATATTTTGTCAGTTGTGGCATGTTGGTCGCGCATCTCACGAAGGTAAATAAACTGATTCGGATACCATGGTTATTAAAAAAAAATGGTCAAAGTGGTTACATTTAAACCAAAAAAGATCAAGAGTGTTAATAATATTGTTTAGACATGCTTCTCTTTCTACTAGAGTTGTTGGACCACTACATTAGGATTAGTAATTGTTGATGGCAAGGAGGCAATGCTAAAATTTTAACAGTTTTGTTGGCAACACCGGATGTTCTTTCATTATATCTCCATTTCTTGGGACAGTTCATACTTCTTCTTTTTTTTCATATCCGAGGAATGAAAGCTTTGGAGCAACGGTAAAGTTGTCTCTGTGTGACTGTAGGTAAAGGGTTCGAACTGTGAAATCAGCAACTGATGCTTACTTACATTAAGGTAAACTGCCTACATGACACCTCGTGGGGTGCGGCGCTTCCCATTACCCTGGATGAATACGGGATGTTTCGTGCACTAGGATGTCCTTCTAACCAAGAAATATAGGAGAGTCAACTGCACACAGAGGCGCACCAATATTATAAAATGAGAGGTCACCAGCACCCATAAAGTTCAGCAAAAAATTCATATATACATGTATATGTCTTTAAAAAATATGATTGTTTAGTAGTGGCACCTTATATACAAAGCAAATTTTGGTTAAATGTAAACAAGCACCCGCTACCTCTAAATTCTGGGTCCGCCTCTAACTGCACAAGGTTTTGAAACTCGGTAGATGATGAACCCGCCCTTCTACCCTTCTTGTGACAGTTAATATATAGAAGTTGAATAGTTTCCAACTGTTAGTTGTCTAACCAAACTTGTATATATCCATTCATTAGTGTATCAACCTGATGGAGGTGCACCAATATCTTCAACTGAGAAGCCAATATCAAAGAGATGGAGAATACTAATGCCAGATGGAACTCATGGTATTTATCCAAAACCAAGGGCTCTTGGAACCTATGAGATCTCACAAGTGGTTGAAGATTATCGCAAGGCAGCCTTAAATGCTATTGAAGCAGGTTAGTTCTAAGTACATCTCAGTTTAAATTTCTCTGTTTTATCATTCTGTAACAGGTTATTCAATATCTATGTTTCTTATATGGTCATAATGTTGACTACTAGTTTAGCTTGTTCTTTCTTTTGAAGTAAGAATAGTACAAAATAAAGGGTTTCAGTTTGGTAGATATCATCTTTTTCTACTACTTTTTGTTGTTTATTTTGCTGCATTAATCTAAATACATGTCGAGGGCCTATCGGAAACAATCTCTCTACCTTCACAGGGTAGGGGTAAGGTCTGCTTACACGTTACCCTCCCTAGACCTAACCTGTTGGATTACACTGGGTTTTTTGTTGTCGTTGTAATCTTAATACATGTAAATCGAAATATGTACAGGTTTTGATGGTATCGAAATCCATGGAGCTCACGGTTACTTGATTGACCAATTCTTGAAAGATGGGATCAACGACCGGACAGATGAATATGGTGGATCGCTAGCCAACCGTTGCAAATTCATAATGCAGGTGGTTCGAGCAGTCGTTACAGCAATAGGTGCTGATCGCGTAGGTGTAAGGATGTCACCAGCAATAGATCATCTCGACGCCATGGATTCAAATCCACTCAGCCTAGGCTTAGCGGTTGTTGAAAGAGTAAACAAACTCCAACTCCATTTTGGTTCCAAACTTGCTTATCTTCATGTAACTCAGCCACGATACGTTGCCTATGGGCAAACTGAAGCAGGTAGGGTTGGAAGTGAAGAGGAGGAAGCGCGTTTAATGAGGACACTGAGAAACGCGTATCAGGGGACGTTCATTTGTAGTGGCGGATATACTCAGGAGCTAGGAATTGAGGCTGTGGCACAAGGTGATGCTGATCTTGTGTCATATGGTCGCCTTTTCATTTCTAATCCTGATTTGGTTATGAGGTTTAAGCTTAATGCACCTCTAACTAAGTATAATAGGAAGACATTTTATACTCAAGATCCAATTGTAGGGTTCACAGATTACCCTTTTCTTCAAGGGAATGGAAGCAACGTACCCTTGTCGCGTCTGTGAGAAGAACAGTTGGATTTTGTATGAACTGTGAATGCCTGATATTGTTGGGCAATTTATTAAGTAAAGAAGGTATTATTGAGTTGTATATGCATCTATATGAGGTTGTGATGTAGCTGATGCTATGGAGAAATTTGTACTATTGAAACAAAAGGTTTGATCAGCTAGATATGCTCTAAAATTACTGTTGTTATGCATAGGAATAACTTTACTTTTATCTTCTGTTTTTGCCTTCAAAGGTTATTTATTCTACTTTTCATGCTAGTCGAACTCGTCAACCTAATGATACAGTCAGCGTACAGAAGTTAAACTCATACTCATGTCACATATATGAGCAAATAAAGGTTCCGGATAAGAACATAGGTTATTTAAACTCCACAATATCCTATGGGTTATACTTGGTGCGGCAGCCACCTTAGTCCAAGGGGTGTTAAACATCCCTTTGTCGGAAATTACAATGTGTAACTAGGTTTAAAAAATCAATACACTCTTTGTGCGTTTACTTTATTAAATGTTGATACCCTTTAGTTGAATTCTTTGACTTAGCCGCTGGATTTTAACCAAACATAGGGGAACATCTAATTCATAAGGTTTGTAATATTAATCAATAGGCTATGTTGCCCTCAAGTTGGAGGAACCTTAAATCATCTATCTATCTAATGATGAAACAGAATATATGTCCGTTATGGAAAAAAAATACGAGCAAAAAGACAAAATCAATTGAATTTGATAGCCATACTAGAAACATTGTTTAAGAACAAAACTTCCCACTTAAAAAGAATTAAAAACAAAACTACTGGCATAAAATAACAGCAACTTAAACTTAATTCTAAGACAAGAAAGATGGTTCCACCAATAGCAATATTAAACTATTCTAATCAAAGAGACTAAAGTTAAAATCTTCTTCTTCATCAGACTCTTCTTTCTTTTCCTCCTCCTTTTTCTCTTCAACAGCAACTTGAGCAACATTATTTTCAGCACCATTGACAACAGAAGAAGCAGCACCATATCCAAAAGCCATAGAAGTAGAAGCCAATTGTTGTTTGCCAGCAGCAATCAACTCAGTAATATCTTTGCCTTTAACTTGTGACAATAATAGTTCGATTTTAGACTCATCAATTTCAGCTCCAACAGAATTCAAGATTTTCCTCAAATCATCAGCAGAAGGATTAGTGTTGCCACCCAATTGTGCCAACAAATAGGCTGCAATCACCTTCATATTTACTATTTAGTTAAGTTTTCAAGATTCTTGAAAATAGAGAATCCCTTGAAAGTATACGAGAGACAGAATTTTGTTATTATGAAGAATATGTCTCCTATGAGAGGGTATATATAGGCACCATGTTGGAATTGTAGGGAGTCCACTCCGAATTAGGATAGGTATAGGAGTACGTGATTAAGACCATATTTCAGTTGGATTTTGGTATATAATTCTTAGTACTGATGGGATTGGAAAAGAGAGGAGGAAAAAAAAAGATTTAACTTGTATAAACTATAGTTTTTTTCTATATGTTTTAAGTTAATTACCGTTTTTACTATATTTACAATTAATATTTATCAAGAGATTTATTGGTGATTACCTAACAAGTAATTTCATTATTTAAATGTTTGACAATGAGTACATAGGAATTAAATTTAAAACATGTATGTTAATAAATCTGACAAATCTAACGTTGACAAGAAAATATGGAAGTCAAATTTGTTTTTACGGGGATGGATATGGGTGAAATTCAAAAATAGTCAGATTTACAAGTGGTAATTGAAAAATAGCTATAGTTTCAAAAGTAATCGAAATTTAGCCACTTTTCATGTAAAGATAAATCTGAACAAAAATACTGTCCAAAATCCGAAAAATATTCTAGCATAATATACTGGAGTTCCAGTATAATATACTAGACTTTTAGCATAATATACTTGAGTTCCAGAATAATATAATGGACTTACAGCATAATATAATGGTCCAGGATAATATGCTGGAAGTTCATACACATGTGCTCCAATCTCCAGTATATTATGCTGGAACTTTCCGTGTTGCAGCAAAATAGTGATTATTTTTCAATAACTTTGCAAACGTTAGCTATTTTTCAATTACCAGTCTGAATACTGGCTAGCCCGTGCTATTTTTCACGATGGATATGGGGCATAACAAGTTGTGACGGACATGAGAGAACTCTTCAAAAAACTTATCTCTTTTTTTTTCCCAAGCCAAAACAAGGTGAGATAGATCTTTAAAAATTTTAGCTTCAGAATTCAGATTCCTATTTATTTACATAACATTCTAAATTCTTTCAAAGTTATAAATGATAAGGGACATTGATTATTACTTATCTAGTAAATTGACATCTTAGTTCTCTCCTTTAGATGATAAATTAGACATGTCAACAAACTCCAATATTCTTGATAGTTGATATCATTATTTATAAATAAATAAAAACAGTTAAAGCTTCTTCCAAAGCATACGGCTTTTTGGTTGCTTTGTTATTCTGCCCAAGCCTGGTTGAAAGAGTTACGGGGCGTAAAACAAAAAAAATACGTTGATCGGGTATACCATGTATAATGATTCCCCCATTCAAGATAAATAATAAATAAAAAGCGAAAAATAAAAGCCATTCCATTTCGAAAAAAGACCTACATGTTTATAAATTTTTTTTTAAAAAAAAAAAGAGCTAAAATGATGAAAACAAATCACTAAAAAAACAATAAGTATAAATGCTACTCGGGAAAAAAATTCACAAAGTGATGGGTTCAAGTTCCTACAATGAAAAAGATCTCGATCGCTACCCCTTTTAATCGGCCTAATATAGCACAAATTCAAATTAGTTGGGGGTTTCAAAGGGATATCAAACAAGAGTTAGAAACCGAAACGAAAATTGCAGGGTATAAATTGAAAAAGTCTTAGGCTAGAGAGGTTGGGTGGTACAACACTTTGACGGGGAAGACTTTCCCTATTGCCATCTCTATTTGTCAGGATTTATACACCTAAAACTTTCAGGATGATGATAATTCAAAATTCAGATCTTCGGGTGATTGACAGTAATGACTCCGTAAGGGGTTGATCTTAGAGAATATCCTCAAAATTGACTGTATTTAAAAAAGAGAAATTTTCAGAAATCACTATTGTTTAGTGCCTATTAACGTTCTATAGCTACCATATATATGATTACTTCCTATAATTACTATTCAGTTGTTACGGTAGTGTATTCGTTGTATTCGCACTGCTGAATACAGCAGCAAAAAGCGCCTAAAAATCAGGGCAGTCCAGTTGTACGTGCATGTATTCACATGTATTCGCGCCATGTATTCATGAATACAGCAGCAAAAAATACCTAAAATCAGGGTAGTTCAACTGTACGCGCATGTATTCACATGTATTCGCTCTGCTGTATTCATGAATACAGCAGCAAAAAGTGCCTAAAATCAGGGCAGTCCAGCTGTACGCGCATGTATTCACATGTATTCGCTCTGCTGTATTCATGAATACATGGCGCGAATACATGTGAATACATGCGCGTACAGTTGAACTACCCTGATTTTAGGTATTTTTTGCTGCTGTATTCATGAATACAGCAGCAAAAAGTGCCTAAAATCAGGGCAGTCCAGCTGTACGCGCATATATTCACATGTATTCGTGCCATGTATTCATGAATACAGTAACGACAATCACTTTAAAAATAGGTATGTCCAGTTGTCTAATAACGGAAATAATACCAATTAGCCGTGATACACTCATAATATAACTCAACAAAATCAATTCTAACATGCGTCATTATCAACCCAATTAATTAGAATAATTTTTCAATTGTATATAACTTTTGTATTTAGTGTGCTTCAATATTATTATTTTTTTTGGTTGCATTCATTAGATTCAGTGTTTATATTTACTGTATTCGCTATTTTATATTCAGTATATTCAAATGTATTTGTATTAACAGTATTTTAGTTATTCCTAATATATGTTATTACTGATGTATTCAGTATATTTCATTAGTTATATTCACTGTATTTCTATTTGTATTCAGTGTATTTTATTGTATTTCACTATATTTTAAAATTAAATGTATTCACTGTTTATATTATGTTCTATTTTAATGTTTGTATTCAGTGTATTTCAATGTTTATATCCTGTACAGTATGCATGAATACAGGTATATTCAGCTGTATTAAAAAAATACAGACCTTTGAAATACATAAACACAGGCAAAAAAAAATATTTATACAAAAATACAATGTGTTTGAGTGAATTTGTACATAATACAATATATTTGTATCATTATATTTGACTAAATAGCAAAGAAGAGAAGAAAGTTCGTCGGAGATGACGTTTTCCGGCCAAGACTCCTTGTATCACTTCACTACCTCTTCCATTACAATTTACAACGCTTCCAATTCGACCGCTTCTTTCTCTTTTCTCTCTTACTTACCGCGCTAAGAATCCCTCTTTCTCTTCAATCTCTCTGTCGCACAAGGTATCTCTGCTTCCTTTTTCTGATTTTGAGATTTTTAGGCTTGCTTTCATGATTTGTTTCTCTTTCGTGTATCTATGATTCAGCCTATTTTGCTCGAAGAGAGAGAGAAAGAAGAAAATTCTAAGAGAGAATAGTGTGTTAATTGAAAGAAAGAGAGAGGAAAAATATAAATAGTGTATTTCATGTCTTATTTCATGCCTTAATGGTAGTATATGCCATAAATACTTATTTTGCTATAAAAATATAAAATGTAGCTATAGAAAATAATATTTTAAAATGATTTTGGTTTGCAATAAATAGGGTGTATACCTTTACTATAGGAGGTAAAATTTCCTTTAAAAAATAGTCCCGGCCCGTACATAACTCTTTAGGAGTTTTTCTATCCGATCAAATTATTCATCGAAGTCTACCCGATTGTCATATTTTTGCTCTTTAGGATTTCTCTACCAAATAGGTAGAGTTGATACTATTATTATTCTATCAATCTATTAAGTTGTTCATCAAAATCTACCCGATTATCATACTTTTGCTCTTCAGGGATTTCTCTAACGATTGGTACAGTTGATGCTATATTTTCTCTACCTATCTATTAAGTTATTCATCGAAGTCTACCCAATTGATATACTTTTTTAGGTTGTTTTAACAAATTGTTCTACAAATATGCTCCAAATGATCTCAAATTTGAAGCAAATCTCTATTACCAACAAAACAATCACCAATTTAGTCAAATAACACCAAATCAAAAAGACTCACTTTATCTTCTTCAGCACTTTCTAAAGTCCAACAATGGAGTTTTAAAATTTTTATAGTAAATTACCAAATTTGTGTTTGAACTAAAAAATTAAGCTTAAATTACCAACATTCAAACGATTTTAATAATAATCCATCATTAACTTCTATTTTCTACCACCAAACAAGAATTTCAAGCTTTAAAAATTAAAGAACGGCGGTGTTCAAGTAAAAAAAAAGGGACATTTCGCTAAGACGGTAAAAAACGGGAATATTCCGCCAAAACCAATCTCTTTGGGGGGCACACCATGCAATATTTGCAGATCTTCCACTTCATGCTCCCCAAATTTTCTCATATACTGGCTCTACTGTAACTTCAAATAATATAGAAAATTTTACTTCCTATACCAAAGGTTGATACCTTATTTATTTCAATGTATCTTGTTGTATTCCATGTATTTCATTGTATTCACTGTCTTTAGTTTTTTCTACTTTTTCAATATATTCACTGTATTTAACTGTATTCATTGTAATTATATAATTTCAAAGCTTCACTTTGCTTCACTGTTTTGTCCGGCAGTATATATTCAGCAGTATGTATTCAATATATTGTAGAATGTATTCATATATTTTTTTAATTAGTATAATTTATGTATTCAGATGTATATATGTATTCAAATGTATCTGCAGTATGTATTCATATGTTTTTGCACTATAGATGACCTGCTATACATCATGTATTCAATGTATTTTTATGTATTTAATTGTATTCAATGTAAATATATAATTTCAATATATAAATTTATTTTTAAAGATACCACTAAAAAAAGAAATGGATTGAATCTCTGAAGATTGCTCTGTTTTTGGGGTGTTTTTCGGTTGAGAATCTTTTCTATAACTGAAAATATAAATTTTATGTGTTATAATTGAGTTTGTTGAGTTATATTAGGGGTCTATCGCGTTAATTGATTCACTTACCGTTTTTAAACAGCTGAATCCCTTTTTTTTTTCGCAAATTCTGTTACTGTATTCACGAATACATATGATTTTAAACAGCTGAATCCCTTTTTTTTTCGCAAATTCTGTTACTGTATTCACGAATACATATGAATACAGTC